GGGGGGAAGGGGAGGGGGGAGGAATATTTCAATTTTCACAGAAAAAAGTCTTTATTCGTCAATGTTTTATTTTTTACATTCTTTACATTTTTGTGTGGTAAATTTTATCTGCCAGTCATCTGTCCAATCTTTTAAAATATTATGATTGATTTGTAAACTAATGTTATCTAATTCTGATTTAATGACTGTCAAATGCTTTTGCAAAATCTAATAATAAGTCATCTAAATTGTATCCATCAGTAAGTATCTTTGTGATAAAATTAATTGATTCAAGCAAATTAGTATTGCAATTTTAGTTATAGTATCGAGATACAAAGTTACCATTGAATGAACTGTTGCCTTCATCCAATGAAAGATAAATAATCAAATTTTTTTTGCACAATTTCAAACGATTTAAGCTATGATTTTGGATTTATTAATAAAAACTAATCTTGGTCTACAATTACTAAAGTTCATTATTTTTCTGATGGCTGCAAAGGACAGTTTAAAAATTGCATATTTACAATTTGTTACCATTCTGAAGATTTTTATGTTTCTTGCATTCAGATTTTTTGTCAATAAGTCATAGTAAATTGCCATGTGTTGGAATAGATAGCAGTGTAAAATGACTTGTTGCAGCTACTAGCTTGCAAAGTTTAACCACAGATCAAATACTACCTGTTAAAGTAATGCTTGAATTTTGTCAAAAGTCAATCAAATCCTAAAAATTTTAATAAGATGTAAACAGTAAAAGTAGTTTTTTGGATATGTATGATCTGTATAAATTTTAAAAATGTATAAATATTTTTTTAGATATGTATGACCAGATATTAAAGTACGGTTCTTACATAGTTGATGCTTTACGTAAATATAAACAACCAGTAATTATTTACATTCCACCTTATGGGGAACTACGTGGTGGAGCATGGGTTGTGGTAGATCCCTCTATTAATCCAGATCATATGGAAATGTATGCTGATGTTGAATCACGTGGGGGTGTACTTGAACCATCTGGAACATGTGAAATTAAATTTAAAGACAAAGATATTATGAAAGTTATGCGACGACTTGACGATACATATGCTTCATTATCTTCTAAACTTGCAGCAACAGGTAACTAAATATTTTATTTTTTAATGGTTTTTGAGTTTATTGATAAGTTGTTTTGTTTGCTATATCTTAAACTTTTCAACCCTTCAATCTACCCTATAAACTCGTTAACACCATTAAAATAATAAACCAATAGAAATAAAAAAAAAAAACTTTTAAGTATGTTAAATTATTTACAATTTACAGATTTAACAACTGCAGAAAGAAAATTACTTGAAGAAAAGTTAAATGAAAGAAGGAAAGAACTGAGTCCTGTTTATCATAAGGTACATAAACACACATAGATTTCTTTTTAAATAAACACACACAGATTTCTTTTTAAATAAACACACACAGTTTTCTTTTTAAATAAACACACAATGATTTCTTTAATAGTTTTTCAGTTATAATCTTAAAAAGATTCATAAGGTTAATAAAATTTTAAATAAATTGATAAAACACAAAATGTTTTTATGTACTTAGTGTACACAACTTTATGTTGTAAAGTAAACATGAAGTTATTATTTTATCAATCTAGTTTACCTCCGAAAGCTTTTGTATGCAAGTTTTTAATAACATTGTCCTGTTTTGTTTGTTTTATTTTTTTATTTCTTTTTTTTTTTTTTAGATTTTAAGGATTTTAATCATTAATTTTAATCAGTTAATAAAGTTTAATCATTAATCATCTACATGAATTATACAGACCTTTCCTAAAAGAAATTTTACAGACCTTTCCTAAAAGAAATTTTACAGACTATCCTAAAAGAAATTTTACAGACCTTTCCTAAAAGAAATTTTACAGACCTTTCCTAAAAGAAATTTTACAGACCTTTCCTAAATAATTTTTTTTTTTTTATAGAAACCAATTTTTTTTAAGTTAGTAAAATCTGTGTAGATTTTTAATTGAAAGTTATTCATGATTCAAGATAATGTTTCTTATTTAAAGACCTTACTAATTATAGTTGAACAGTTAAAATGATTATAAATGATTGTTAAGATGATTGTTAAAAGAGTGACCTTCAGAGCTCGTAAATAGAAACAACAAATGCTATTTTTGAGATGGCAGAAAAGCAGGATTTAATCAAGCACTTGTGTTCAATCATTTTTATGTTGTCTGACTTAGTCTAATTACAGGAATTTTTTTTTTTCCAAACTTATCTGGAATTTTAGATATTTTCTTAAACTTTTAGTTTTTCCAAATTTCTGAAAATTGTTTCCATAAATACAAATTTAAATATATACTTTAGCAATTCATTTGTTTTTCAACATTTTTAATTATTACCCATATAAAAATAAGAAAAGTTTTAAAAAAATTGAGAAAGCCATCAGCTTAAAGTTATATTAAGACAATTATAAAGAAAATACATTCCGGATTTTTTTTACCAAACTTTTTCTGTATTTTTAAAATACAACCTTGTTGATCACTGGGCATATCATGCTTGTGTCGTGTATCATGTCGAACACAACCAAATAAAGACCTGTCATCTTTATTCAGTTAATGTTTAATATAGTTTAATGAAGGCTTGTTATTTTTGTGCTGTTTTCTATTTGATTAATTTTCAGTTAAATTTCAGAAAATAAAATTTTTTTATTGTATACATGCTTGTAAAATGTATAAGCACTTATAATAACAAACATACATAGACAGTTTATGTTTCTTCACTATAATGGTTTATTCTTTTATCTTTGTTTTTTAGATTGCTTTAACATTTGCTGATCTTCATGACACAGCTGGAAGAATGCATGACAAAGGTGTTATACATGGGATTATTAAGTGGGAAAATGCACGCACTTTTCTATACTGGAGATTTAAGAGGCTTTTACTGCAACAAAGAATTAAGAAAATATTTGCTGAGCAAATGAGCGATTGGTAAATTTTGTTTGTGAAAAATTAGCTTTGATGTAAGGGCTACATATTTTTTATTTTAAAAATAACTTAATATCAACAGAAACTGTAATTACATTTTTGAAATTTATTTCCTAACACAAATGTTTGATGTTTGAGCAATGTGAAGTAGTAGTCGGTAAATGTCACAATCAAAACAATTCTATTAGATTTTTTAAATAAATTATCTTTTAACATATTTTTAAAGATATTTTTAGTTTGGCAGTTTGTATTTCAACACATTTTTCAGTTTGTCTTTAATTATGAAATTAGTTGTTTCATCTTCCATCACTATTATATAATAATTTTTTACAAAAAGGCTCAAAATTTTTTAACCTTCGTTTGTTTCAAATATTTGACTTTTAAATAATTTTATTAGTTATTTTATTTTTAGTTCACTTTTAATATTTATTATTTTTTATTTCAAAACATGTTTTTTATCAAGTATTTTTGGTTTCATCGCCATTTAAGATATTTGTAAATATCTTATGAGAAATCATCATGGTTCTAATTTTTTTTTTTTCCTTAGTATCAACGAGTTAACAAAAGCCCATGTAGAAACAGTAATTCAGAGATTGTTTTTAGAAGAAAATGGGTCAGTAAAGGTAAACATTTTGCTTTTATGTTATATTATTTACTATAGAGTATATTCTATATTTCATTGTTTTAAATGCTTAAGTCTTACTTGTGGGAAGATAATGAATTTGTAACTAAATGGATTGAATCTGACTTGTCGAAAAACCAAGGCTCTGTTATTTATGAGTATGGAAAGTGGTTAAAGCGGGATGTTGCACTAAAAAATATAAAATGGTAAATTGTATTTATGTATTTGTTATAACTATTTTTTGCCTAAAGTAAAAGCATACTCAGTAAAGACAAAATATTTTTATATTATTCAGTAAAAAAAAAAATTTGTTATGGTGTTGCTATTTTTCAAGTGTCTGTTTTCAAAGTTTATTTTCACAAGTGAATTCTTTTAATTAACTTAAAGTAGATTAGAAAGTTTGAAATAATAAAAAGATGGTAATAAAAATTATTATTTTTCTTTCAATATAATGTTATTATAGCATCCTTGACAACAACCCTGATATTGCCATGGACACAATTGTTCATATAACTCAACAGTTTAATCCTGGAAAGCGCAATGAGTTATCTCGTGTTTTAGATGCATTAAATCATTGTGACGAAAGAAGTCCGCAGGATGCTGAAACGTAGATGCATAATGTATTTAGGAAATTAAACAAATTAAATTTTTATTTTTTAATTATTTTTTAGTTATTACGTTCCAGTTAAATTTTACAAAAAATAAACTTCAATTAAATTTTTTTTCTAATTTTTGAAATATTTTCTAGAAAATATTATTTGAGATTTTAGGAGCATAAAAAAATTTATGAGCATTTGTGATTGTGGTGGGCACATATATATATATATATATTTTATGTAAAAATATTTTCCTTTGTTTAATAATTTTTCAATATTTTTTTTTCATCATTTTTATTTGTTTTTCATTTCTAGCGTATTACTTTTTGTCAACCATCAGAAAATTGTTTATTAAGTCCCATTTTAGTTTTTATTTATTTTAATATTTCTTTATTTTTAAGTAATAAAGATGTTAAAATATAGAAAAATAAGTGTTAAAATAATAAAGAAAGTATAAGGAATTTAATTTTTTTTTTTTCTAAATATTTTTTTTTTAATTAGTTTATTAATTTGCTATATTTACTTTAATTTTTATTAGTTTTAGTTTAATGATAAGTTTTTATCAATTTAGATGCTGACCAATAAAAATTACTAGTTTAGATGTTGGCCAATTAAAGTTGCTTGTTTATATGTTGACCAATAAATATTACTCATTTAGATGCTGACCAGTAAAACTTACTTGTTTAGATGTTGGCCAATTAAAGTTGCTTGTTTATATGTTGACCAATAAATATTACTCATTTAGATGCTGACCAGTAAAACTTACTTGTTTAGATGTTGGCCAATAATTTTTTTTTTCAATGTTTGTTTTTTATAAATCAATTATTTATTTTTAAATTTATTTTACAGACTAGACTTAATATGGTAGTTACTAGTAACACAGAGGAGAGTACAAAACAAAAAAGTGTGTGTAGCTCCCCTCCGCCAAGATGTTCACCTCCACCCTCAATGAACTCATTCACTATTCCTAAGCGAACAGGGCTTAAAGGTTGTTATTTTTTTGAAAAGATTCATTTTTATCTTGGAATTGATAAAAAATCTGAAATATTTGTTCTTAAATGTTTATCAAAAAATATATTTTTTTAAATGTTTATCAAAAGTATCTATTCTTAAAGAAATAAGTTAACACCATTAGAAACTGATTTTAATCCTGATATTCAGTTAAAATTTTGAAGTCAGTGTTAAAATTGTTTTATTATTTTTTTAAATATCATTACTGTTTTGTAATACTAAAAACAAAAAATAAACATGCTTTTTAAATATTAAAATATATTTCAGTTTTTTATTTTTTAAGCAGCAATTTTCAACTGTAACAACAACAGTAAATGACAACAATTATATATACAATTATAAAATTACAGCAATTGGTGTTGACAACAATGAATGACAGCTATTATATATAAAATTATAAAATGACAGCAATTGGTGTTGACAACAATAAATGACAACAATTGTCAACAACAGCAGCTGTCTGTTTTATTAATTCTTTAGTTTTTTACAGAACTCTTACAACCTACATCTCTGGATAGTCGAGAGTGTAAAGAGGTTATAAATGCGTTTCATAATTCTTTATGGGATCCTCAGTCTTATACATTTGAGTTCAAAAGCTGTCATTTAGTTAACAATGAAAAGTTGGAAGAAGAGGTAAAATGTTTAATGTTAAAATGAAAGAGTTTAATTTTTAATAAAAATTTTTTTAAGAAAATGATTTTTTTCTTTTATATAGTTCAAGACAAAAAGAAAGGAAATGGGTAAAGAAATTAAAACTGGGTTTGCCTACTTGCGTTTAAATAATCAAGAGGAGGTAATTAAATTTTCCAATTATCAAAAAAGATAAATTTATTATATTATAAATAACATAATGAACTTACTGTACTGGACACAGTTCTTTTAGATTACCGGATAATTATATTTTTCTTTATATCTTATAATTCAAATTATTTTTTTGCAATCAGAATTTTGATTTTTAGGCCAAAGCTATTTGTGAAAATGGCTTATCAACAATAAGTGCACATAATTCTACTACAGGTTTGATTGGAGACCATAGATATGGTAAGCTTATGTGTTTTTGCTGTTTTTTTTTTTTACTTTAAAATTTGATGGTTAAAATAAAAAAAAAAAGCCAAAAAGTTCAATCTTGTGTGTTTTTTATTTAATTTCAAATGTTAGATAATTTCTATTACACAATATCCCATAATTAAAAAAACTGCTTCTGTACTTAAAATTAGGAAAGTGGTAAAAATCAACTAAAATAAGAAAATTAAAAAAAAGAAGGTAAAAATGATTATGGTTTCTAATTTTGCACATTTTGTTGTTAAATACTGAAAACTTAATACAATTATTTTTTGCTCATTTCATTTAAAAAATTTTTCAATTGAATTTTATTTTTTAAATATTTTAATAGGTTTTTATACTTAATTGGAATAAGTTTAGGAGATTGTGACAGCTTTACAAAGTTAGGTTTATCCAGCATATTGTATATATCTTTTAATTTTTCTTTCTATATGTTTTGTATCATAGTCTTATTGAAAAAATATAATTTCTGTCTTGAAATAAATGTGTTATACTTGGTTTTTGCACAATTGGTGCTTTAAAATATAATGGTACTTAAGTTGATCGATGATCCTTCAACTTTGTACAGGTTTACCAATCCATGAGCAGCAAATGCACTCAAAAGCATAATTTTTTAGTCATGTTTTATTGTTATTGCTTTAATTTATTTGCTTCACCTTTTTTTCTACAGATTTTTTTTGGAATATCATATTGTAGCACAAAAGATGACTTATCTATTTATCTATTATTCCAGAACCTTAGTTTCTACTAATTAATGTTTCAGATTTCTTTAAACTGTTTGTTTGTCACATCCAAGTTATTCATAAATATTACTTTAATTCAATATCACAATCTTCATTTATGGAATTGTTTCATCAAAGTCAGAAATAAGTTTTTCCTTAACTTGGCAAATTTGACTTTTAAATAAGCGATTGATAAAATTACAACTAACTGTTAAAATACTAAATAATGAATGTCTTGTACCTAATTAATGGTTGAGTTTTGGTATAAGCAGAATTTATCATTTTTGCCATTCAAATATATTTTTTTAGCATACATGCAATAAAAACTTTAATTTAAATAATATAATGTAATCTTTTTTAAAACATGAAGAGATAAAAAGTTAAAATCAACTCACAAAAAATATAAAGTCAAATTTAATTCTTTAAAAAAAAAGGGAAAATGCTTTAGTGAAGTTTTGTAAGAGTTCATCCATAAACGACTTCACGCTAAATTTACCTTTTAAATAAAAGTAAAAGATCACTGGTTCTCTTTTGTAGAGGTTTTAAGAGTATTACAGGGCTTTATATTTAATGAAAATTTCAGTACAAGAAAGCAAATGATCTCCTACTTCTATCCAAAAAATAATTTTAGCGTGACATTATTTATGAACGAAGTAAATGCATTAAGTATTTATTATTTAAAACAAAAAAATTAGAAGCAGTCAATTTAAATTATCAGTTGATTAGAATTACTGTCACTTTTACTTTATTAAATAAAGTAAAATTCTAATTGTAAAATATATATACAATGATTTAAGTTAATGTTTACCACTTCTGCAGTTTTGTTAAGTTTTAGTAGTTTAATTCTTTTTCTCCTGTTTTTAATAATAGTAATTGATAATTTATTATAAAAATTTTTTACTTTTTTATAAAGAAAAATAAAATATAAAAATGATTAACAAAATATCGAGTTTTATGACCATTTAAAAAAAAAATTTATGCTGTATTTTTGTTGTTGTTTTTGTTGTTGTTGTTGTTGTTGTTGTTGTTTTGAGGTCGAAAAATATATTTAAGATCTTATAATGCCATATATTAAACAATAAAATATTTCATTGTCTTGACTAATAGGTATGTCTCTCTCACAAGATAGTAACCTAAAATATATATAATAGTTTTTGCAAATAAGTCTGTTGTTTTTACACATTTTTTTTATATATAACAGCATTAAGTTTTTAATTTTTTTTTTTTGATATTTATTTCAGGTGTATACTTGTGTCGGTGTGGTGATATCATAAGTCGTAGAGCTGCTATTGATGATTATCCACAGTCTACAGTTATTGTGTTTAAAGTATTGATGGTATATATATATATTTTTTTTGTTTTATCTTTGTTTAAAGTGTTTATCTCTCTTATAAAGTTTAATGGAGAGATATCATTTTATGTAGCATTTTATCTTTCATTTTAAAATGGGTAGTGGGGAGAGAGTGAGGTGCCAAAAACAAAATGCTTTTTACTAAATTTAAAATTTTAGACTATCTTAAAAAAATTACTAGACATCAGTGTGGATCTACATTATAAAATGTAAAAAATATTTTAAATATTTATATGTTTTGTTCAAATAAAGGGACGTCTGCGGTTGGTAGATGATCAAAAAAATAGCGAAGATCAGTTTGAACCAACTCCTGATTTTGATGGTCATATCTCTAAAGGTTTCCAAAGAGGAAAAAAAAGAATTTTGTCTGAAACATTTGAATCTTCTCAGGTTGCTATTTTTAATCATTTATTTTTTTTGTAAATCAATCTGCTGTTTTTGTAAATAGATTGATATATTTTGATATTTGATATATTTTGATATTTGATATATTTTGATATTTGATATATTTTGATTTATTTTTTTAAATCGTTTTTAATTAATTTTTTTTTTTTTTTTATGATTCAGATATACTTTTATGAAATAAATCTCGACAATATAAGCAATGATGATGATGCAGCAATTTATTCAAAGCGACCACGCCAATGCTTGCCTTACGCAGTCTTGACATTTGAAGCCAAACGAAAACTAAAAGCTACTGTTATGACCCCTGTTAGACTTTTCCGCAGTGACTCTAATACCAATCAGGTATTTTAAAATTTGTAGTTGCTATGAAGTACCTGTTGTAATTGATATTATTATTTGTTGGTATGGTAATAAAGTTCTTGTATAATTAAATCAATTATGTTACAATATTTTTCAGAATCAAACTTTTGATGGTGTTCAAACTACAGGTAAAGATATTTACTGCAGGCTTTTTATAAGTTATTTCTTCTTATTTCTTCTTTAGTTCTTTTGTGGATTTTATCTAGTTATCTAGTTAAATTTTTTTTTTTTTGTAAGTTTAAATGTTTTTTTAATTAATTTAACTTTTTTTATTGTAGAGAACCCTTTTGAAAACTTTAAGAATATTAAATACATTTGGTCTGGTAGTTGCTACTTAAAAGAGCATTTTCTTGCTGATGTACAACTTGGCATGTATAATGAAAAGCAATCACAATTATCTCCGTTACCAGTGTATGATCTTTATATAAACAAATTTTTTTTTTCCTAGATCTTATTTAAAAAACAAATAAGCTTTTATAAAAGAATATTAGAAATCAAAAAATGATATTTTTATAAAAAAAAGTTTTTAAATATACTTTGTTAATGTAATTTTAATTTAATATATTGTCATGGTAATGTGGTAAGAGACTAATGATAGAACACTCAGCAATCAAGAAGTTTGAAGTTCACCCTCTGGTAGTGATTGACTAAAACATGAAATTCACCTAAAACATAATTAACCAATATCTAGGGTATACTAGTTCAAGTCTAAAAACCGAAATTTCGTCAAAATTTTACTAAAACTAAAACCAAAAATTTTAAGTAAATTAATTACATTAAAAAATGTTATCTAAAAATGCAATTTTACATAAGTTGTATATTTAGATTTGTTGTTTTTTTCATTTACTGTTTATTTTTTTGACAACTTCTTTCCATGTTAGGGGTTGTCCATAAAGTTACCCTCTAAGAAGAGGGGGTGAGAAATTCAAAAACAGTCAAAAATTGCATGAAGTAATTTATGGATAACCCCTTATATAATAATAATAGTCATTTAATAAGAATAAGAAATTAATTAAATAAGAAAAAAATTACTCATAGAAAAATCTTTAAAAATAACTAAATGCTTACATTCACAAAATTTTATCCTTGTTCACTTTCTATTGAAACTATTTAAATCAAGTTTCTTTTCTTTAAAAAATATCTTTGCAAGGTTCAAAATATTATGCACGCTGCAATGGTTTGATTATTTGCAGTTTTGATATTTTTAAAAAGCAGATGGATACATGCTATTTAAAAACTAAAATGTAATTTGTGAACATTGGGCCTAAAGTTTTATTTAGGAGTTGTCAAAAATAACTTTAAAGTTATAAAATACGATTATATGATTTTAAAAATTTTAAATCATATAATCATATTTTTTGGTTTTTAGTATGTTTTTTAACAGAAATTTTTCTTCTTACCGAATTTATAAAAAATACCAATACCAAAATTTCAGTATTGTTTGGAAATTTTTTGGTCAGTTTCGGTGGAAATTTGAAATTTCCACCGAAACTGACCGAAATATTTTGGTCAATCACTAGCCTCTGGAAGTATTGCTGAAAAAGCATTGTAAGATATATCTAAAATGAAAAAAGCAATTAAGATATGATAAAAGAAGTAAAGGCATCACAAAAAAACAATACAATTTAATTTATCTATTGTTGTTGTTTTTTCTAGCAAAATTGTTTAGGTATATGTAGAGAAAATAAATGAGAAAGATATTTTGCAAGGTTGTAGTTGTATGTCCCAATTGTTGCTATTATAGGTCAAAAAGTTGGAAGAGAGCTTTACTAAGTTTATGCATTTTAGGTAATGCATAAATTCTTCCTGCTTGAGATCCTACAGAATAGATTTTATTGCAAATGTCTTTTTCAAAATATTCAAGCTTATTAAGTTTTCTAAGATACCCTTGTAAAGATAGTTCTCTTTTTCTTGTAGTATCTTCTTTAGTTTCTTTAAACTTATTGCTTATAATATTACTTATAATATTTACTTATAATATAACTTAGTCTTACTATTTATAATATTACTAGCAGTAAGCAACCCGTAATACGGGTTAGTAGTAGATCATTACTAACAATTTGATATTTATTTACTTTCTCTAATAAAATATAAATTTATTTATACAGTAAGCAACCCGTAATACGGGTTAGTAGTAAATAAAAAATTACTAACAATTTAATCTTTATTTACTTTCTCTAATGAAATATAAATTTATTTATACATTTATTTAGTTGAGCTCACTTTTATTTTTCTTGGCTTCTTAGTTTAAGAGAACTTTTAGCTTCATTAAAGATAAAGTTAACCATTTCTTTTGCAATGTTCAGACATTGAATGCGCAAATCACAACCATGTAGTAGTTAAAAATGACTTGAATTATATGCACAGAACATCGATGTCAAATTTTCAAATTCCGTAAAATTGTTTAGGTAAATATTGGGAATATATTCTACTCTCAATTTTGCTTTAAGCTGAGTCGTTTCTTTTTTTTTGAAACTTTTCATTTTACTGAGTGAAGAGCTTAAAAATATGTCACTATCGCACCTAAACTTTTCAATATTATTAATATACTTTTTAAATATTTTTAAAACATCTAAAATATTACACCCAAACTTGTAGGCATAGAAGTTGGATATCTGGAAAAACTATAAGTTGAAAAATATATTGCAATTCCAAAAAGGGCTTAGCCCTGCATACGGATCCTATATTATTATGATAAAGATTATTATTAAACCAAATTTTTTTTAAATTAGTAATCCAGCAGAAACTTGTTTATAAAAAAACAATAAAGGAATATATGGATTTACTTTAATAGCTAACGTGTATCAACATATTTATTTCAGCATACATCCAATCCATATTTATACTAATTTTATAAAATGTCCGGAATACATTTTGCCTTAACTTGGCGTTAAAATATTAGTTTTATTTCATTAATTTTTGTATAGATCAGGTTAATAACACTGAGGAGCCAAGCATAGCCTATTGTAAAGAAAACCATATCAAATAATTTAAAATATTTATTACCGATAGGGACGACAATTAACCATATTTAAAAAGCTACGTGATTCCATATTAGTAGGATTGTTATAGAAAAGTATATTAAAAAATTATATTTAAAACGTATATTTAAAAAAAAGTGTATTAAATAGAAAACAGATTTTTAAAAACTACCTAATTTTGTAAGCATTTTGCCAATGGTGTTTGAAACCAATATCTTTAATGGAAAGCCGACTTGTTTAACTAATCTCATTCAAAGAATAAAATTAATGAGATATAAACAATCGTACTATAGTGTTATATAGATAAGTAGATATATATGAAAAAAAAAAAAACAACTAGAAAACAGTATACCTGCTTTTGGTAACCTATTGTGATACTGCAGCAGTTGCTGTAAGGATGCAACTGTTCTTTTTGGTGTTGTTCAAAAACGTAATTTTTATGTTGGCTTTTAGTAAACTTTAGTTTAATTTAAAAGACATTACAACGGATTTTAAATACTCAAAATAAAAAAAGCAAAACATAAAATGCTTCAAGGAGCCAAACTATAAACATAAAAGATGAAGAATGGAATCAAGATAAATAAATTGTATTTATATAGCTAAATATATTGCCTTGGGTTTTGGTAAATTTTAAAAGCAGTGAGTTCAATGAATGAAACATACCAAATAATTGTTTTTAACAAAAGAATGCAGCATCATTATATTATGATAATTGGATAATGAATCAACTTTCGACTTTCGAATTTAGATTTTAGGGAGGGGTATTTAAGAGGGCTTCAAATTTGAAGTCAGGTTTAATTGGTGAGAAAACAATTAAAATTTTCATTAAAAAAGATCAAAACAAATCAAATATACAACGTAATATATATTTAAAAAAAAAAATTACGAAATTAAAAAAAAAAACCGAATTAAAAAATAAAAAAAAAAAAAAAACGAAGAAAAAGCAGCAACTAAAAAGTCATAAATATCTCTACTGATAGAAGACATTTACAACCTTTTGGTTGTTGTTTTTTCTTCGGTGTCTCCCAACACCCCGGTATGGATGAGCCCTCCATTTAAAGGAGGGCTCATCCATTCCGCCATGATCTTTCCATTTTTTGAAGGACCTCTCTGAGAGAGGTCCCGGGTGTTGAGAGCGGTAATTTTTGTATTCTTCGAATGATAAGGAATCTAAAGTTACAAATAGAAGAATATAATAAAAATTATACATTTGCAATTATTTAAAAAAAAAATTAGCATAACCTCACCATTTTCATTCGAAACAGAAGATGCTTAAAAAAAGAAAAATGAGAGAGCAAATTAATAAGGGTTAAACATGCAACATTTTGTATTTTAATAAAAATATAGGACAATAATGCAACCAGTTCAAAAGTGTCATATTTATTATTATTGTCCTTTCTCCATAGAAAACATATAAAATATAAAACACAGCCCTACCAGCTATACTTCCACCAGACACTAAAGACAAATATATACTTAAATAAATATAAAATAATCGATAAAATAATGTTAACATATAAATATATACATATCTAAATAATTGTTTTACCCATCCCCCTCATTTCATCCATAAAGTTGTCTAAAGTAAGAAAAAAATAACTAAAGCTAAAAACAAAACTATAAACTAAACCAAAACTATAAACTAAAGTAAACTTTAAATCTTCTAAATATTAATGCTTTATTCATTAAACTAAATTAATCATAATTTATACTTAGTTTTTGTTCCAACTCCCCTAAAAGAAAGTATAAAATAAAGCTAAAGAACTTGATTTTTTAAAATTCCAGTGGCAGTACAAATAAACAAATTCCTATTAACAAATATCTAATAGCAAAAACACTGACTTATTTCCTTCTTCACTTCTGTATCTAAACAATAAAAGCACTTTAATGTTTAGACGTTAAAATATCGATAAAATACATATTAAATGCCACATAATACCTTTATTAGATCTCTCTTGATTAACTAAAGAATTTAGATTTTAAATAAACTCTAACTAAGTTTTAACAAACAAACAACCAAAATAAATCTTCACTTTAATAGTACGTTATTAAGTTGTCATTTAAATAAATAGCAAAAATATATGTTTGTATCCATATATATCCATATTATGTATGCATAAACACGCCTCTTACCTAACCTCCTGGATCCTAGCAAGTATGGAAGTTTTTATTCCATCTTGTTAATTTTAACTATTACCAAAGAACTTGTCCTCTAGTTCCACTATTGAATCTAATGGCCACACTATTTCTAGCATTTGAGTTAAACAGGTCAAACCATTGATAGACATCCAAATCACCAGCGTTTAAATACTTTGCTCAATATAATTTTAAATCAATATACTCTTTTTTAGCTTGTGGCTCATTCAACATTTCCATTATAGCCTTACAAAAGTGTTCTCTCTTTGGTTTGTGCAAAACTATTAATAAGTGCTAAATAAGTGGTTTCAATTTTTAATCCTTTAAAAAATACTTTCGCCTCTTAAATTATCCTACGATCGGTCTTCTCTCTATTTTTATCTTCTTTATATAAAGGTTTTGAGATTTAATCATTTCTTTCTAACAACGGTATTAAAGTCATTTTTTAATGGTTAAACTCTTTTTTCCAGTAACTTTAGGAGTATCGCAAGATTCTATCTTTTTTTTAAGGTTCTTTATTTGCTCCTGTTTTGTTTCTTATTTACAATAACAATCTTCCTGACAATTACATTTCTTACTGATAATGTACAAATCTTACATCATATGTATAAATCTTACATCAAAGTGGCTGAATTCCTGACAATTACAAATTTTACATCATAAGTGGCTTTATTTGCTGGCAAACAACATTATACTCTTGTCTTGACAAAATGTCTTTACTATTTAATCGCTTAGAACAAGCAGCTGTTCTTTAATCTGATTCTGTTCTTTATCTCTATAGTTCTCAAATCCGTCCTTGTATGGAATGCTGTTGCCATATCAGGGACAGATCTTCCAATGATACTCTTTCTTTTTTAGACAAAAAAGTTCAAAAATGCATTGTAAACACAGTTGGACCTGCTCTTGCAGCCAACCTCCAACCATTATCATATCATCGTAATGTTGCTTTTCTTTCTATTTTCTATAAATACTACAATAGGCACTGCTCAAAAAGCCTCTCTTGTGCCATATATTAAATTTCATTCATGTGTTACTCATTCAATTAAGTCTCATCCTTTTACTGTGACTGTTCCTAAGAGCTAAGTTTAACAAAAATCAGAAAAAATATATTTCTGATATTTATTATCAAAAACACTCATTGTTGGACTATTATAAAAACAAAACAAAAAACTTACTTAAATGTTATAGGTTAACTAAAACAGACATTTTTTGTAATTTTGCAATTTTCGCCAAATTACAAAAAATGTCTTTAAATAGGGGGATAAGCTGTTAAATAAGTATGTTTTCAAATCTAGAAGTTCTTGTTTTAAAAAATACTTTCACTAAGCTGATAAATTTATAGCAAAATAAAACGAGATTTTGATTTTAGAATATTTAATAACTTATGTCATCCATAAAAAATATTACATTTGGTATTTAAAAAGTATAACTTTTATAATATAAATGCATTAAAAACAGACTTTTTGTAAATGAAACATATGGATGACATAAGATTCAAATAGATTAAATATTCATGGATAAGTGTGCAAGTTTCTAAAGTCTAGCATAAAGACTTTTGAAAGACTAATATAAAGTCTAGCATATAGACTTTTGAAAGACTAATATAAAGTCAGGCAATCCTAGTTTTCCCAAAACAGGTTTTTTGCAATATATCAGAATATCGCAAAAAAAGAAAAGTGATCCAAATCATTGGCAATATTTTAATAATATTTCTTTTTATTCTGATTAATGTAATTATTTATTTAACAAGGAAAGAAAGATCTTTTATATTTTATTTATTTAAAAATGAAAGCATTTATAGAAAAAAAAAAAACTATTGTTTTAAAGTTAGTGAATTTTCATACTTTTTATGTATATATATATATATATATATATATATATATATATATATATATATATATATATTTATATATATATATATATATATATATATATATATATATATATATATGCATATATATATATATATGCATATATATATATATATGCATATATATATATATATGTATATATTTATATATATATATATGCATATACATATATATATATATATATATATATATATATATATATATATATATATATATATATATATATATATATGCATATATGTTTATACATATATTTATATTTTTATAGCTAGTATTTAATAAGTAGTATGTATGCATAAACTTATAATACATTAAGTATTATTAACTTTTCCTAGCCCCAGCTATTAAATTCTGCTAAATCTTACAAGTTTGCCGGGCCCAGATTGTAAAAAATCCCATTATTAGCCCCAGGCACTTACTGTTATAGATAGTATATATAGAATGTAAACCTGATTTGTTTTTTGTTATTTTTTTTGTTATTTATAAAATACTAGAACAGTTAGTTTATAAGCATTAATTTTATTTGTTAATTATATTTATTTTTTTTAAGATCTGCAAATCTGTGTGTTTCCCAAAAGATTACATTTGAAAAATTAGCACGTATTCTACCTTCACGAATATTTAGAAAAAAACCTTGTGAAAGTCAACAGCCAGCATGTAGGTTTACCTGGTTTGTCTTTTCTTTTCTTTTTCTTTTTAAGGTACTCACTCATGAAGTTTTTAGTTGTTAATTTGAATTTGCAGCTATTGTTGAAGGTTTTCATTTTCTTCACACTGAGCTATACCCTATTTATCAGTATGAAACTAAAGTAAACAGTTTTCATCGCCAACTGCAGTTAAAGAAGGAGGTTTATATTATTGTTTTAGTTATTATTTTATTCCATTGTTAACATGCTATTGTTAATATTGTAATATATTTTTTATAGGCTGGAGTATGCACCTTAAACTCAGGAATGAAACTTTATATTCTTCCTACTTCAGATTTCACAGATTCACTGGGTTAGCATCTTTTTTTACATATCTTTACTTTAATAGGTTTAGTCAAAATAAATATTTCATATTTATTTTGACTATTTTTTTTTAAACAGATTTGGCAGGTGACATAAAGACAAACCAATTTTTTATATGTCAATTTTACACTTGAAGTACACACCTTCTTTTATTAATTAAAATATAACTTAATCACAATTAAAATATCACAAAGGTGTTTTAAACCTTTTTAAAGTTGTTACAATTGCTTACTAGGGGTACTAGCATAGCTAGTTAGCTATTACTAGGGATACTGGCATAGCTTGTGCTTTAAATGTTGTAATAAAAAAATTTTATTACAAAGTTGAATGATCAAACACATTATAACTTATTAAAAATTTGTAACTATGTTCTTATCTTTAATACATGAATTACTTTTTATCCTCAATTTTTCAATCTCATTTTTTATATTCAAAGTTGAAGTATAAATAGATATTCTATAATACAATTGTGAAATGCTTTTTCTATAATACAATTGTGAAATGCTTTTTAATAGGTATTACAAGTCCTATTTATCCAGCAGTTCTTCATTGTTTATTTATGCAATATAAATCAGGTAATTTCTTTTTTTTTATTCTGTAGTTTATACTCAGTATTGTTTGTTTATGCAGCATCAATATAATTAAACAAATTAAAAATGATGATATTAATGATTTACTTTTATGGTATTATGTAATTAGTGAACTATAGATTAGTTTTTTAGCCTAATTTCTATAACTTAATGATTTAAAATTTTAAAAGATTTTGCTAAAATGATGTTCTTATACCTTTTTAATTAAAATTAGTCAATAAAATTGACAGAAACTCAAAAAAGTGAAGTCTGATGGTAATTGGAAAAAGGCAAAAAAATGAGATGTTTCAAAGAAGTCAAAAGTCTAGTACAATAAGATAAAATTCTTCAAATTTAGTTTTTTAAGGTTAAAATATTTTCCACGCTGTTTAAATTAATAATATTTTCAAACTCAGATAAAATAAAGTGCCATTAATCTTATGTAGCAGACTCACGTTCTATGGATAAAAGCCTAATACTATTCTTTTTTTTTAAAAAAATATGGAAAGTGACTATATATATATATATATATATATATATATATATATATATATATATATATATATATATATATATATATATATATATATATATATATATATATATAATGAGTTTATAAACAATGCTATTTTTTCATAGAAGTTCTTGAGTGAGAAATTTTATTTTAAAGAAGGAAATTGCTGTTTTGATAATTAAATCTTCTTTACATAACTGTTTAGTTAATTTGGTAAATTTCGTTTTGAACATTTACAGGGCTGTTTTTAGTCCTTTGTGGCCCCTGGACTAGAAAGTACTTTTAGTTTTTTTCTGACTTTTTATTGCTTTAATTAAGTTGTTGCATGCAGTAGACCTCTTTTTATTAACATACTCATGAAAATCCATATGAGAATAAATATTCTTCTAAATCCAAAATTCAAAAATTGCACATACAAATTTAAAAAGGAGACAGTAGCTTTTAATGGCATTTTCTTTTTGCAAATTTATCAATTACAGATTTCACATCTCTAAAATTTTTTAAATTGTGCAATTTTTAAAATTGCGTTGCTTGATAAGCAACTCTGTTCTCCATTAAATTAATTAGTGTTTTTGATGTCTTTTAAGTCGAAAACAATCTTTCTTCAGTGTAATTAGTTACAGTAGTGCACAAAAAAACTCAAAGGAAAATGTTAATATTGGAAAGTTAATTCAAGGTTTTTAGGTTGGGGTATTTAGAGCAGATCAAGCACAGTTGGTTTCCACTTCTTGTCACCTTCTTCAATATAACTTATGTTGGTTTCCGTTCTTCTGCTGTTACAGTTTCTTTAATTTCATGGTTGCTGAGTTAACAACCTGCCTCTTTTTTGTTTTAACCATATCATTAAAAGTAAACAAGGAGATAAAGTAATATCATTAAAAGTAAACAAGGAGATAAAATAATCTCAAATAAGGTAATAAAATGAGGTATGTTTTCTATTGTTTAAACTATTTTAGATTATTAATCTTTTTTCTATATTCTTTTGGATCATGATCTTGTTGACTCACTTACTTTAGCTTTAGCTCAAGTGTTCTATCTTATTGAGCCATTTTATTATTCAGTGTACTACTATATCTTGTATACATCTAGTAGTTTACTGTATAGTTAGTTGAAAACCTCTACTTGATTGAAACCTTACTATATTGAAACACCATTATATTTCTGCATCTAGAACATATTGTTTTTTTTTTATATGGGGAAACAAAGCATTGTATAAAGTTTTGTTTTATATTAGTTATTTATATTAGTATGTTAGAGTTCTGTCATATATTGCTTTAAAATGTTATCTTTAGAATCATTGCAGTATTATGTTTAGCAATAGATTCAAAATATGAAATTGTCAATTTTTCATATCAGGTTCTAAAAACAAAAGTATGATATATTCCAACCTATTGTTCCAGGTTGGCTCTACTACAAAACCTAATTCTAGTTCAGAAAAAGTTCGAAAATATCACAAATCAGTTATTGAATTAATGGTGCTTGATCTTCAATCAATAGTAAATGATTCAAGATTTCTTAGATCCCATGCTATCATTGCACCAAATTTTTAATTGGTAAAAATTTAATTAGTAAAAATTATTACCGTGATATCCTAGATCCAACCTATGATATAATCAAGTAAAAACTAAAAATTTAATTGCTGTCAGAGAATCCAATTGATATATCTTTAAATTTGCTACATGCAAGAGGTGATTCAATGATCAATTTTCAGTATTATTAAATTCTAGAACAAAACTAAAATAATCTCATAAATTAAAAGTTTTGTATATATTTATGCTACATTGACTATCTTATAGCCTGCTGCTATAAAGGAGTGTTGCTACATTGACTATCTTATAGCCTGACTTTCAACGGAGTGCTGCTACATCAACTGAGAGTTTGGTTAGGGCAGGAAGTCTATCATTTAATAAAATAAAAAAATTATTCAAGTTTTTAAATTATATCTGGTCTGGTTTATTAGCACTCTCTTTAAAATTATAGTTTATGGGAAAAACCTTTCGACTAACATGGAAGACTCTATATGTATATATATATATATATATATATATATATATATATATATATATATATATATATATATATATATATATATATATATATATATATATATATATCAATCTTATTAGCGGTAAGCCATACTTTAATACTTTTGGCGGTGTGCTTGGGGTCATTGTCTTGTTGGAATTTCCAAACTAGAGGGAGATATTCTTGGGCATATGGCAACATCACATTTTCCAGTATTTCTTTGTAGATATGTTGATCCATCGTGCCTTGAATTCTATACAACGGGCCTACTCCACTCCATGAAAAACTACCCCAAACAATCACCTTGCCACCACCATGTTTAACGGTCTTTAAAGTATACTGAGGGCTGAGTTCTTGGTTCTGGGGACGACGAACATATTGCTTTCCATCGGATCCAAAGCGATTGAACTTAGACTCCAAAGCGATTGAACTTAGACTCGTCGGATCCAAAGCGATTGAACTTAGACTCGTCAGTCTAAAGCACATTTTTCCAAAACCGCAAGTCCTTGTGTACGTACTGTTTTTCAAACTTCAAATGGCTGACGAGATTACGTTTTGAGACCAATGGTTTTTTTCGAGCAACCCTTCCAAACAGCTTATTTTCGCGTAACCAACTTTTGACTGTGCTGACAGACAGATTGAGTTTTGGATTTTGAGCAATTTGTTCTTTTATTTTTGGTGCGCCAGCAAAAGGATTCAGCTTAGCAATACGAACAATGGCTGCGTCTTCTCTGGGGGTTGTTTTTCGTTCACGAAACTTGCGTTTTTTGTTGCTTAATGAACCAGTATTGTTAAATAATTTAATAGCACTGATAACTTTCTTACGAGAACAACCGAATCTTCGAGCTATTTGAGAATTGTTCAATCCTTGATCTCGATATGCCTGTACTTGTCCTCGAAAGACATCTGTTCCATGTTTACCACGTCCCATAATTGACAGAAAATTATTATTTTTATTATTTTTTGCTAAAAATATACAAGAATATACTTAGAATATTAAATAGAATGATTATCTTTTGATATATTACAAAAATTTAGTTTTTTTATAATAAAATGCTAATGTGTGCTATTTAAAATGTCCTCAAAAATGTAAGCACGACCGCTAAAATGCCATTTTTACAGTTATAAATATAAAATGAGTAATGCAGTTTAAAAATGTAAAACAAAAATATTGGTACCAAAAAGAGAAACCAACTGGTTATGAAAGTGTGCTATTTATTTTGTCGCCACTGTATATATATATATATATATATATATATATATATATATATATATATATATATATATATATATATATATATATATATATATATATATTCTTTCAGGAAAATAACTCTATATTACAGCTGCAGTTTTTTTTGTCAAATATTAACAATTTTGACAACTTGTTTGTTGTTTGAATAATATGTGACTTGATAACTAATTTTTCTTGCTTTTTCTTGTCTGTTTAATAATTGATTTTTTAATAAACTTTAAGAAATATATTCCCAGCAATGTAACCAGCAGTAACTTTAACATAGTCTCTGAAAAATCAAATGAAAAAGAAAAAAACATTTTTTTGCATTTAACAAGTTGTTTCTTACATTTTTTATAAAATGGAGAATATCAAATAAGTATGTTTTAAACACTCCTTTTTTAAACTGGATGATAAATTAATAATGCTCTATGAAACTATAAAATACATTAACATTGGTAGAATGGTTACCGGTAACAACAGTTCTTATCTTAAATTCAGATTGGTGTATTGAGGTAATATCATCAATTTCTTTCTTTGAACATAAACCTGTTATGTAGACTTTATGTGAGGATTTCAAAACATAAGAATAAACTTTTGAAGCCCTGCAATCATAAAAACAACTTCTTTATAGAGATTATTTTCTTAATCTTCACCAAATTGTTTATCACTTTGATATTGGGCTGCTTTTTGCAAATACATCTTACCCGCAAGAGGCAGGTAATCATTTAATACCAAATTTTTGTCAATGATTTTAATATATATTATAGTTTTTTAAAATGTAATTTTCACCACTGTGAAACCATTTAGGTAAAGAAAATGTATAATTTTTATGAAATATATTTTTTCATATGAATGTCAACATAAAATCTGGTATTACGTTTGAAAACCTGATATAATGGTTAATTACTCATTATGATTACTAACTTAAATAACTTTTAAAGTTAAAAAAGTTAAATTTTATTAAATTTGGAATATGTTTTTGTTACCTATTATATTATATATACTATTATATATATATATATATATACTATTATATATATATATATATATATATATATATATATATATATATATATATATATATATATATATATATATATATATATATATATATACTATTATATATATATATATATATATATATATATATATATATATATATATATATTATATATACATATACATATACATATATATATAATAGTATATATATATATATATATATAATATATATAATATATATATATACATATATATATATATATATATATATATATATATATATATATATATATATATATATATATATATATATATATATAATAGTATATATATATATATTATATATATATATATATATATATATATATATATATATATATATATATATATATATATATATATATATATATATATATATATAATAGTATATATAATATATATAATATAATAGGTAACAAAAACATATTCCAAATTTAATAAAGTTTAACTTTTTTAACTTTAAAAGTTATTTAAGTTAGTAATCATAATGAGTAATTAACCATTATATCAGGTTTTCAAACGTAATACCAGATTTTATGTTGAAATTCATATGAAAAAATATATTTCATAAAAATTATACATTGAGCATAACGGTAATTACCTGTTGTAAAACAAGAAATATGGCATTATGTTTTTCAAAAACATAACAGGTAATTTTTTTACTATGTGTGTGTGTTGCACTATATATTTTTTATACTTATTTTATTAAAATGGTTTAATATTGGCTACATTTTCTTTGAGTACTTACATTATTTTGTGCTGGATATTTTGTTAACTAATTGCCTGCTTCAGTTTATTCCAATAACACAGAATACTGAAATAGGCTTTCTGATAGCTATATCCACATATTCCAACATGCTACTAAAAATAACCTTACATGTTGCTTAATCTACCCACAACTCTCAATTGGAAATAAAGGTTTGTAATTTTGTATTTATTATAGTTGCAGTTATTAGGTATAAAACATGGATTTTCTTTGAAATATTTACACTGCAAAACAATGTTTTGCAATGTAAATACTCTATTATGCTGCATGTTTCAAACATGCAGGAATTAAAATGCAACAAATTAGGCCATTTATTTACAGTAGGCCAAGAAATATCATGCATGTCAACTGTTGGAGTCAATAACTATTAATAAAACTCCTAATTTTTGATTGCCTAATAAATGCTATCATATTTCTTTACCTAAATGGTTTCACAGTGGTGAAAATTACATTTAAAAAAACTATAATATATATTAAAATCATTGACAAAAATTTGGTATTAAATGATTACCTGCCTCTTGCGGGTAAGATGTATTTGCAAAAAGCAGCCCAATATCAAAATGATAAACAATTTGGTGAAGATTAAGAAAATAATCTCTATAAAGAAGTTGTTTTTATGATTGCAGGGCTTCAAAAAGTTATTCTTATGTTTTGAAATCCTCACATTAAGTCTACATAACAGGTTTATATTCAAAGAAAGAAATTGATGATATTACCTCAATACACCAATCTGAATTTAAGATAAGAGCTGTTGTTAGCGGTAACCATTCTACCAATGTTAATGTATTTTATAGTTTCATAGAGCATTATTAATTTATCATCCAGTTTAAAAAAGGAGTGTTTAAAACATACTTATTTGATATTCTCCGTTTTATAAAAAATGTAAGAAACAACTTGTTAAATGCAAAAAAATGTTTTTTTCTTTTTCATTTGATTTTTCAGAGACTATGTTAAAGTTACTGCTGGTTACATTGCTGGGAATATATTTCTTAAAGTTTATTAAAAAATCAATTATTAAACAGACAAGAAAAAGCAAGAAAAATTAGTTATCAAGTCACATATTATTCAAACAACAAACAAGTTGTCAAAATTGTTAATATTTGACAAAAAAACTGCAGCTGTAATATAGAGTTATTTTCCTGAAAGAAATAATGCATACTTAATTCAAAGCAGAAACTCCATTCATCCTATCAAACTCAGAGATGCTGCTTTGAAAGGTGGTAACAAACTCACACTTTATTGAGAAATTGCAAGTTGTACTGAAATTTGATCAAAATGAAATTTGATAAATACTTTACATTACCCAAACAAACTTCTTTTGCTATAATTACAACACTTCAAGCAATTGTATCTCTTATAAATGATTTGCTTGAAGAAGGCTTTACATTTGTTATTAGTTCCAATTTATAAAGTGATCCTTTGGAGCTTGGTTTCAGTAAGTATAGTTAAATGACCAGTGGTAGACTTTTTGTAAGTCTTATAGAAATATGCATTAGTAAAACGATTTTGGCAGATTTCCCCAGAAAATATATATCAATATTTTGATAATCCTTAAAAAATATTATGCAAGATATTGCTTAGTTGTCTACATAAATATTAGTGTCAGTTTTCTGAAGATAGCAGATATACTAAAGCAAGTAATACTGGTAAAAATTAATAAAAAGATTTTGATGTTAAACTTAAGATCAATAAACATTATTTTATGCAGAGAAGAAAATATATATCCAATTCAATCTCTAATTTTGTTTGTCATCTTTTTAGTATTTTATATGTTATTTCTTTTATTCTAATAAAACATTGCAGTCATTATTTTTCAGTCAAAAATTTGCAGAACAAATTTTAAAGATTTGTTATAGCAGTGTCAGTTTTACAAATGAAAAACAAAAGTGGGGAATCAAATATAGATCTCGTGTTGTTAATAATATTTTTTTTATAATAATTTGCAAAAAGAATTTACATAATCATTAAGATAAGATCAAGTTAAAGAATTCCAAAAAAGAGAAAGACCAAATAAATATTCCTAGTAAAAAGGTATTTCTTCTTTTAATTTCAATTATAATAAATACAAAATTACAAACCTTTGATTTTATTTTCAACGAAAAGTTTCAGGCAACCTTAGCAACATGTAAGTTTAATTTCAGTAGCATGTTGATTTATAGCTATCTGAAACCTATTTCAGTATTCTATGTTATTGGAATAAACTGAAGCAGGCAATCAGTTAACTAAAAATCTAGCACAAAATAATGTAAGTACTCAAAAAAAATCTAACTCTTATTAAACCATTTTAATAAAATAAGAACACTTTGCTAAAATTGTATTTTTTAAAAGAAAAAAAAATAAACTAATAAGGAATATTAAAATATTCAAAAAACATTCAATAAATGGTTTAATGTGTGTTCTATTTGAAAAACTCTAGCCAAAGATTCTAATATCACTAATTCTAATACGATTGTTGTTTCCTTTTTTATTGGAAATGTTGGTTGATTTATATTTTAAATTGATTATTTTTTTAGTATTTAAAGTCACTACATATATGTAAACATTTTGCTTGTTATTTTCCTCACTACAACCTTCTACTCTATAGATACACCCACAAAAAATTACTTCAGTAACTCTACAAACCAAGCACCATATTTACTCAACATTGTCATTATGTAAATAACTATAAATCAAATTAAAAGAACTGATGCATACTCCATGCCCCTATTAATCAGTCTGTTTTATCTGTACAAGGAATAACTCAGTTTATTTGTTGTTAATGATTCAATTTGATATGTTTCACACATCATTACAGCGTGGTTGCTTAACTTCAATATCAATTAATAATTCATTAAACTTGAAGTTTAGCAATGTTGCATTAGTATACCAGCAAGACAGATGACAATATTTACTTGGCAAACTTTTTTTAATTATTCTTTCTATTAATGTCTTGAGCTTTCTAGCAGCTTTCAAAACTTCTACTCTGTTTACGTTGTTGATTAATTCTACTAAAACAGGGCTGCTTAGTACATTGTTCCTGTATTTGAAATGAAAATCTCTTTTGTTTGTATTTTTATTTACACTTTCTCTAAATAGATCGTTAACCAATTTAGTGTTGCCATGGTTTTTAGTATCAATCTCCTTTCTCCTTTGAAAGATTCTAAAGACAATATTTTCTCACTTTTGAATGTCATTATTTAAGGTAACAATCGCCCTTATGGCTTGAAACTCTGATTTAAACTCTCTTCGCAATTGAGGCCCAATTTTTCAAGTTACTTTTAGTTTTATTTTCTTTATCTAAACCTGTAAGGCGATTATTCAGTTTATTGTTGTTATATATATATATATATATATATATATATATATATATATATATATATATATATATATATATATATATATATATATATATATACTGCGTTAAAATTGCTTTAAAGAAAAAGCTTAAACTATCCTTTGAAACATAAAACAAACAAACAAGAAATAATGAAATACTTAAATAAAACCTAAAAACATTTTATTAGTTTCCATTATATTTCTATAAAATATGTATTAAATTGTAATTTCATATTACAATCTAATATTATTAATAACATATTATAAACATTTAGAACACATGTGTTGTTATAATTTCAATGACAATCAATGTATTTCACACAAAAAAGTACTGTTTACAATATAGTAAAAAAAAATTTATAATAATATTTTTGTGAAGAAATAATGCAAATTGTAAAAAAAAATTATTTTAGGTGCCCCAAGTTCTTATCACAGACCATCGCTGAAGAGGATTTGAAGGGAAGCCTCTTTCCTTACCGATGTTATAAAACTTGCCTAGAGGTGGTTACCTGTGGCGTTGAACCACAGATCTCAAGTTTCTGACGCAAGAGCGCTAACCACTGTGCTATGGCTGCTTACACATCCATATTAAAAGTATGAGCCTCAGTAACCAAAAATATAATAAACATACTTATAAACAGCGTTAATATAAAAGTTGTTTGAGTGCTCTTATTGCTTATAAAAAAATATTTTGAACATGCAACACAACTTGCAAGAAATCCTTTTTCGCAAATATTTCTATGATGTCATATTAATACATAGTTAAGCTAACATAACGCCTTTCATAGACAAAAGATATAAATAATTTTGGGGAACATAACGCTCAAGCCTTTTTTTTTACTAACATAACGCTAAATTTTTCACTGACCGTTATGTAATCATTGTATTTTTTACAGTGTGTGTATATATATATATATATATATATATATATATATATATATATATATATATATATATATAAATGTATACATATATATTAATTTTTTATACTTGTTATAAATTTTGTTTTACTTTTGTGCTACCTTTAAAACTAATTAGTAATACTTCATTATACTAATTATTTTTTTTTTACTAAATGTTATAAATTTTTTTTTTAGTGGAACCTGCTACCTCTAAAACTGATTATGAATACTTCATTAAACAAAGTGCAGCAATTTTACGTGACAGAGCAAGTGAAAATGAAGAATTAAAATTTTTAAACAATATACAAAATATTGCAACAGTTAAAAATCTTCAATGGTCGTATAAACTCGAAGATCGTATTAAAGTTTGTCGTTTGTTATCACTTATTACAAAAGTCAGTGTTAACCCAACAAATGAGGTTACTAAGCATGATTTATCTAAAATCCCAGATACATTACACAATGGGGTTGATAAAAATGAAATCAATCACGTGTCTTCTAACCATTTAAATCAGGTTTCTAATGCATCTGAATTAAATATAAACTCTGAAATACAGTTAAATAAATACAGTAGGCTAAATAGTTCTGATAATGATTCTGTATGTAGCGACGATCTTATACTGGATGTTGAAGATGCTTGTTGTGATGATCCAATTTGCAAAGATCATTTGCGATCTAAACCTAAACTTTTTAAAGGTCATAAAATAAGCGTAGAGGAAGATGACTATAAAGATGCTTCTACAGACAAAAGTATTTTATTTGAGGTAACAGATTCTGTAACAGGTGAACAGTTATCAATTAGTGGTCACACAAAGAATTTAGAAAGTATACAGCAAAGTTCTCTTAATAACATTAGTAAATTACAATTAACAGATAATCAAGGTTGTTCAACTTCTATAGTCTCTAATAATGAGATAAATTCTCATTTTTTTACAAATAACAATAAAAATATATTTCCTAACAATATTATACATACAGAAATTGATACATACAGTAATAAAAACATAAATGAACTTCAAAATAAACTGAATGACAGACCAGATCTTGTTGTAAATAATACTAACGTAGATGAAAATCATACTGATATACAAATGGTTGAAATGAGTATCGTTGATGAATATGTTGCTGAACCTGAAGATGATCCAAAGTCAAATGAATCAGGTAGATTTTTTGTTAACAATTAATTTTTTTTAATTCTTTTTTTAAAAACTTATAGCTTTATAAATTTTAAAATTGTCTTTAGAAACTGACAAGAAATTAATTAAAGTAAATGAGTCTAGTTTACCCCCCTCTATAAAAAGTCTGTCTTCAAATGATTATCAAAGTCTAATGAATGTGAAAATTGATTGGCAAGAATCAAAAAGAGATAGTAAGCTAACATAATTTGAATTATTTTAAATTTTTAAATAATATAATAATATATTGAAATATTTTTTTCTTTTAGGCTTTTCAATGTCGGTTCAGGTATTTAGTGCTTTCTCATTATAAATTATTTTTTTAATCTGTTAGGTTGTTTGAAGCATTAAAATACTTTTATTGTTGTTGTTATTATTGCTATTGTTATTATTGTTGTTTTATTTTAAACTATTTTATAATGCTAGAGTCCTCCGAATTCCTCAAAAGTTTCAAAGTTTAATTATAATCAAAGGTATTTTATTAATTTCTTAATATTTTTATACATATGTTTATATAGGGAAGAGTGGGGCACCATGAAGCATGGGCACCATGAAATATTGTAATTAAAAGTTTTAAGTTCATAAGTTTTAAAGTATCTTATTAAATGTGTTAGTAAGTAACATTTTTCTGTAAACTACAATCCATGAACTCTTTTCTCCATTAAATGAAATCTTTAAAAAAACTAGTTGATTTTGAAATTAAAGTGATTGTTTTCTTTTAGCAAGTATGGGGTAACTTGATACAGTAATTGTTGGGGGGCCCTAAAACTGTAGAATAGTACTTCATTTTTTCATAAACAATTCTAAAAATCATTCCTTTTAATAGTTACATTCAATTTTTAAAAAATTTAAGTAAATATAATACAAGAAGATTCAATATCGATACAAAGACATTATTAATTGACGCTTAAGAATGACATTTAAAACAATATATTATCTGGTCTTCAAAAATGTGATTTGGGTTGTTGGATGCATTATTTGGTTTAAAATTAATAATTTAACAATCTTTCAAGTAAAAATCTGTATTTTTTTTATGTTTTTATATTTTTTATTTACTTTTTTAATGATGCTCATAATGTGTATCAAGGTACCCCATGGGTGGGGTACCTTGAAACGAATTTCTAATTTTAATTTAATTTTATTTCACAAGTTTAACCTGTTATATTTTGGTAATTTATAAATTTAAATTTGTCGGAATAGATTTATTCAACAAGTTAAACCAATCGCCTAAAAAAAAAACATGTGAAAAAAATTATTACAAAGCAAAAACCAAAAGTGTGTCATGGTGCCCCACTCTCCCTTATATTATGCATATAAAGTTGTTTTATTAATTTCTTGTTTTTATACATATACATACTCGATGCCGCCTAACAAAGACTTAAAAGCATCTGCACTATATTTTCATTCACAAATGTGTATGTTTTGTGGTAGTGGTGTAGTGGTATTGCATTATCTTCATAAGTGAGAAGTTCTGAGTTCCACCCTCTTGTCCCTGGTAGCACCACACTCAATATGCTTCTCCATACAGCAGCCTTTTTTATTATGATTCGTGTTTGGTAGTTATAGAGTTAAGAGAGGGTTGTCATTACAATAAAGTAGCCTCTTAAACTGTAGTGACCCTTTGGCCGTGATTGCTTCACGAGTAGTAAAGTTCGATGGACAAACCATGTTAATAAAATTTTTTCACATGAACAGTTACAGTACACAACTTTGTAGAATGATAAATTACACCTTACAACAATGATACAAAAGGCTTGGCAGCTAAATCAGGTCCAACTGCATTTAACAATGCTTTTAGACCTTGTTTAGAAGCAAAGTTAATTACGTTTTAATTGTAGCTATGTACCTCACATCTACTTAGCAACCAAATAAAAATAGCAATTAAAGTTATTAAGTATTTTCTAAAGTGTGAATGTTGAATTAGGAATGTTGAATTAAATACGCACAAAATACTAATAACATCACAGAAAGTAAGAATTACTGAAAGCAAGAGTTTAAAATGCAAGAATTGCATAAAGTAAGGATCACAGAGAACAAGAGTCACATAACACAGAGCAGAGAGCAAGAGTCACATAAGACATTTTTAAAAAACTCTCTTCAAAAAATTTAACTTAATTAAATTAAACAAAATTTAATTTTTTTTTTTTTTTTCTTTTTTTGTACTTTAAATAAACAATCGATCATTTTTGATTAAGCAGTTGACAAAAAAAAAAAAAAAAAAAAAGTTAAAAGATTTTGAGAAAAAAACGTTTTAGGCTAAAAAAAATAACTAAAAAAATAATAACTTCTTGTGTATTTTTGAAAATAATAACTTCTTGTGTATCTTGTGTATAAAAAATTAACTTCTTGTGTAACAAGAGTTTAAAAAAATTTTGCTTTTTTCTTTTGTAAATATTGTTTAACATAATAATAAGAAAAAAAACAGATGACATTCTTTTTGTTTGTTTGTTTAGACATAGATTGTAAATGGCATTGTGATTCGTGATCGGCATTGCAATTTTTTGCACATAGTTTATTGTTACAACTGTGAACGGTTATAATTTTTTTTTTTAATCTATTAAAAATATATTTTTAGTTCTAAAAACGGGAAACAAGAAAAATGGTCAAGTTTACAAAGAGACCAACGTCCACAACACTACTCATTGACCGTTGATCAAAAGGATTTTCGAAGTTCTCGATTTCGATTTAAAAAAGACGATTATCATCAAGACTTCAGTTCAAATAGTTTTTCGAGAAGTAGATCGCGAAGTCCTCGAAACGAAAAATCTTATTCGCATTCATTAAAGAAAGAAATAAATAGCAAAAAACCTGAAAGTCAGTTAGTCAGAAATCAATCTAGTAAGAATATTTCTGTTGAAAGTTCGTACAAAGCCCCTAGGGTAATAGAAAGAGATCTTGCTATGCATAAATGCTTCACGAGTTCAGACGAAGAGAAGATAGATTTTCGGTGCGTAGAAACTCAATCACAATCCACAATAAAAACATCGCAATTACAAACGTCAATAAAGACGTCACAATCAAAACCGACAATAAAGTAAGTTTGCGTTAATATTAACTTCATTTAATATGCCTCATATTGGAGCTATTATATATTGATACTTTTTACCAAACATGACTAGGACAAAAAACTATTTTAAAACTTCGGTATTTAATTAATTAAAAAAGTAATTTGGTAACCAACAAATCTATTTAACCAAATATGACAAATTATTTATTAAAATAATTTGTCAGGTTTGGTGAACAGAAAAATAATTAACAGGCGCTCAACCCACCCTAATTTATAGTATCCTATAGGATTTTGAAACAAAAAAATATCAGATTTAACACAAATTAAATTGTAACAAATGTTTTAAAAAAATATATATCAATTATTTTTTTCCAAAATCTTATAGGACATATAGCCTTTTTAAGACTAAATAACAAATAAACGTTTTGCTTTTAATATTGGTCGATTTTTTGACCATTATGAAGGAGTCCGGAAGGTTTTAGGGACAGAAAAACAAATTTCTGGGTACCCGTCTCTATTTACATGAATAAAAGAAAACTCTTATAAAAGAAAAAAAACTCTTGAATTTTTTTTTCGATATTATTTTATTTTTTTGTTTCATTTTTTTGTGTCAAATAAGTTTAAAAAAAGTTATTAATTTTTACCAATAACAATTAGTTATGTGATTTTAAATTATATAACATTAAAAAACCCTTTGAATAATGGTAGAGGACAAAGTATGAACAGATATGAAGGTATCAATATCGTTAAGATGATATTGTTAATTTTTTTTATAACGATTTCCTTATCAATGATAAAGGTGTTTTTTTTTACTCACTTTGTTCTCTGCAAGGCAAAAAAAGATCGACGTTACATCATCGTTTGATAAAGGTAAACATTTACCTTTCCAAAATTACCGGTTGTTTCATTTAATTGTCTTTTTTTGTTGTTGCTTTTTGTACGTTGATAATTTCATGAAATTTTTCATTGTTTACTTATTTATCTTGGGATGTATTTGCTTTTATTCATTTGTAGTGTGTTAACTGTGTACTTTATTTTTCAGAAACTACGAAGAAGAATCACATAAACGAGTCGAACCAAAGCACTGTAATTACGAAATATCAAAATGGCTTAATGAATACTGGCTGTGATGCACCCGAATATCAAAATAACGTTATGAATAGTAGCAATGGTAATAACGAAAATAATCTCGTGATCTCCAAACGACTTTGTTCTAATTTCAGTAAACAAAAGTTATTGAATTCAGAACAAAGTCATGTCAGTAAAGAATTCAAATCTAAGAAAGAATTCGAATCGGAAAAACAACATATTTCTTCAAAAACGATTGCTACGCCATTTGTAGGCTCTGTCAGATCTGCAGAAACAAAATCTGATTCTTCCGTATATAAATCTCTTGACTATTGGGGGACGCATTTGAAACACGAAAAATTAGACAAACTTACGGAAATGTTTTTATCAAAAATTATTGCAAAACTAGGCGAATAGTTTTTTTTTTAATTTGTTTACCTATTATTTGTTGTTGTTGTTTTTTTTGTTTTCGTTTTTTTTGTTTTTTTTACAAACGCGATAATTACTTGTTGATAAAGAATATATTTAATTTATTCACACATTTATTAAACATTTATATTTATTTAATTTACTCATGCATTAATTAAACATTTATCTTTTTTTCGAAAAAAATTGTAAACTTTAGGATGCATTCAACATGATTATATTGGTCTACTGAAGAGTTCTGTCCGTTTTTGGAATCAAACAAAATACAAATTTTTCTTACTGCCAATTAACTTTACTGAATAATATAATTGCCATTATTTTTAATGACCTCTTGCCAGCGTGAGGGCAATTTGTACATCCCATTTCTGAAAAATGTTTCATCTTTTGATGCGAAAAATTGAACCAGTACTTGTTTGACATCTTCATTTTTGAATTTTTTGCCCGTCAAAAAATTTTGTAAGGAGAAAAACAAGTAATAATCAGAGGGTGCTATGTCCGGAGAATATGGCGGGTGTGACAGAATTTCCCAGCCTAGTTCTGCAATTTTTTGACGAGTCCCTATAGCAGCGTGTGGTCTGGCGTTATCGTGGTGCAGTATGATGTCCTTACTATTGAACATTGCCGGCCTATTTTTTTGGACTGCTGTCTTTAAATTATCTAGTTGCTGGCAATACTTCTCCGAATTAAGCTTTTCGTTTGGTTTTAAAAGCTCATAATGTATTGGTCCTCGAATGTCCCACCATATACACAACATTTTCTTATTCAGAGTCAAATTTGGTTTAGAGGTGGAAGGGCTAGGTTTTCCGGGTTCACAATATGCCCTTTTCCTTACAATGTTGTTGTATGTAATCCACTTTTCATCCCCAGTTATCACCCGGTTCAAAAAAGGCTCGATTTTGTTCCGAGCAAACAGAGATGTACATATGACAGCTCGATCGTCCAAATCTTTCTGACTTAATTCATGTGGCACCCATCTTGAATACTTCTACACTAACCCCATCTTCCGAATACGGTCAGAAATGGTTTACTGAACTGAATTAAGCCTTTCTGCGATCTCCGATGTTGTCAAAAAAGGATCTTGCTCGAACATTGCCTTAACAACATCGTCGTCGATCAAAGATGGTCGCCCAGAACGTGGCTTATCAGAAAGGTCGAAATCACCTGTTTCAAATTTTTTGTACCATCTTCTGCATGTCCAATCAGAAACTGTACCTTCACCAAACACTTTCAATAAATTTTTACATGCTTCTGTAGCATTTCTCCCTTGTTGAAATTTGTATAAAATACAGTGGCGTAAATGAACTTTACCAGTCGCCATGGATATACTATCGTTTCACATGTGAATCAACTTTGTTATAGTTTATTTGCTACGTCAGTACGTATACATTAAGCGATAAAAATATAGAGCCGAATATGCAATAAATAAACATGTGCTTACGTGGCGAAAATGATGTCATAGATTCGGACAGAACTTGCCGAATATATTAAATATATTAGTGTGTGTCCAAGCCAATAATGATAGTAATAAACTGCGCAAATACAAGCACATGGCTTATCACACCAATAAGTATTTTTTATCATTAAGTGTAAATATTATTTTAGAAAAATAGAATTTTAGGAAAATAGGAACATGTTGCAATTATAAAGTAATTTCAAAATGTTACTAAAAATCGTGTTTTTAATGTCAACATAACAATCCATAGACCCAAATGTAATTATCCTTATTTCTATTTAAACGACTAATATCAATATAAGAATATAACGATAATCATTTAAATCTTGAAATGCGGATGATAAAAGTAATACTTGAAATCAACGATTTGAGTGACAATGTATAATGTGTCTGCATATACGCATACTTTTAAATACAATTGTCTCGATTTTCTTATCAAAAATACTTTGGTCTAAACATATGCATTTTTTTATCGAGATTTTTGTCCGTGAATAAAATCAAAAAAATTATAATGCTCATTAAAATTTAGTTGAATTCTAGGAAAGATACTCCTATTAGGAAATAAATGCAACAATATGCAACCTGAAAAGATTACACGAATTAAAATTAGTAGTTGCTTCCAGTAAAAGAGTTAAACCTCAAAAAAAAAATTATTTCCACAAAGAAAAACTAGTGGTTAAATTTTATATTAAAAAAACGCGACAATTTCTCGAATGAACTATTTTAAACGCTGTTCTGATGAACAAGCTAGCTTGTTCATCAGAACAGCGTTTAAAACAGTTCATTCGTTGGGCTTCCAGCTGCAGTAGTTGTTTTATAGCAATAATGTTTACACAGCTATATAAAACACTGCGGAAACATTTTTGTTTGGAGTTGGGAATAAGTGCTTATAAACAATCAATATCGGGATATCCATCTGATGTGAAGTTAGACAACGGTCGCCCGCCAGTAGTAATTACTGTATGTAAAATACAAAAAAGTAAAACTATTCTATTATTGCACTTTTTTTATTTCCACTGTTGCCATGATTATAATTGATGATTTAAATATGTTGTAAATGTTATTGATCCACTATATAAGCATACATCTTTAGGAAGTCTTGATGATTCTGATCCAAAAATATCAATTTTTGCTTTAGTAGAAGTTGTTTTAGAACATTATGGAAGTTTCAGCTGTTGAAACTATTTTACATCTCTGAGTGAAGTAAAAATATTCCATTTTTACATCATTTAGAGATCTTGTAAAAATTGTTTATTTTCAAATTAAACACTTGATCTGAAAGTATACAATGGCATTCGATCTAAAATGTGAAAATTCATTATTTAGTTTAAGCAGTCACGGTGGCAAGTATGCTTGTTTCTGGTATGAAGGGAAAAGAGTTTTTTAGAGTAGAGAAAAAAAAAACTTTGGGTTTAAATGATATCAACTACAATCAATTTGTTGCATATAGATGTAAAAAAAATCACACGGTCAAATTTAAAAACTATATTTCTCTAGGAACTGTGTACCTCGATAAATCTTTAGAAACTTCAGAGGGACATCTTACCCCTCTCCCATATTTACATGTACTTTATCGGTATTACTTTTGAAAAAATTTGAATTACTCCGCGACCCGATTTTGACACGATTTAAGTCAATCTATCGACTTTAGAGGTTACCATGGAACTGGTTTAGATGGTAACAATTCAAAGAATTGTTACCATCTAAATTTAGATAAATTAGATAATTTAGAATCTTATTTGGTAGAATAAGAGAACTAAATTACCTACTATGATATTTCTGCAACAAGTAGTCACCTGTCTTAGAAAGCTTTCAACTGTTAACAAAAAAGAAATTTTAATAATTAAAAGCAATAGTTTTTACTTTTAAATATTTTCTTAATAATTGAAAGCACGGAAAGTTTACATTTTATTATGTCAAAATTTACCCTCGTGGTCTCAGAAAGCATACTGTAATCCATTTTGAAATAAATATTTAGTGTAATGCATTTTGAAATAAATGATTTTTTTTTTTTTTTTTTTTGAGTTAATAATAATAATATTGCAAAATGACTTTTGAGAAGTTTTTCATATTATCAGAAGTTTTATAAAAAAAAAATTTTTTTTTAAAGTTTTGAAGCTATATCTGACGTCAAATAACTAAATATTATTTCAACATGGTTATTCCTACTGATACCTTGATTAGAAAGATTGAACACTTAGTTTCTCAACCAATTGAAGAAAGAAATGAAGATGAAATCCAACTATTACTTCCGTGGTTTCGTAAAAGTAGTACACTTTTTCAAATTCTTGATACAGGTTTAACATTTTTAAAAAGTCTCATACCCAAAACCAAATGTGACGTTTTTTTTATCTTAATTAATTTTATATTATTTAGCGCGTTTGACAAATGTTATACGTACCGCAAAGTTAGTAACGTATAAATCCGATCACATCATTGTACATCAAGGTGATGTCGGAAACTGGTAAGCTAATTTAAATGCGGACAAAAAAGTCTTTATCTTGAAAGCGTCCCTGTCCCTTCAGTTACCCCTTTTAAATAACAATAAAACTATTCTTAGTTACAAACAATAGTTTTAAAACGATGAATCGGTTAATGTTAAAAGGACGGAAATAATGTAAACTTTCGGGAAACTAAAAAAAACTGGTTCAATAGATGGTTCAATAACTTTTTTAAGTTAAAAAACTTTATCCTTTTGAAAAAAAAATTATTCAACCATTAATTTTCAGTTTCCATAGTTGGACTTCCGCCCTTTTAAGATTCACCGATTCACATATAAAAATACGTTTTTAGCTAAGTGTTTAGAAATACTACTATTCCTTTCTTCAACTTTTTTTCCTGATAAGTTTATCAGATCACGGATGGATAATTAGCCTTTCTTTTTTTAGAAAAATTTTTTCGTTAGATTAGGTTTTGCTTTATGTTTTGAGGTACAGTTTTTTCATGCATTTTAAACTTTAAAGTTTGTAACACAAAGATCAAACTTACGAGTTTAAAAAAAAACTTTTTGTCGCAGAACATTTCCTGCTCAGTATAGACAAAAATATGTGTAAATTGGCATATATACTTGATATATTTTAGTAATTTAGAAAATATCTCGATGATGCATACAAATTCTGGTTGATAAGTATAAAGGCTTGCTGTTTTTTAATAGTTTGTTATACGTATGAGTTATCTAAACCAATATTTATTTCGCAGTTTATGAAAGGATAGTTCACGGATGTATAGTTGATTCTTTTCCACCAGATAGTATTACAAACACAGACTTCTAATTGATCCGTTGCCTATGTTATCAAAACTTTTGTTTTACTTTAGTTTTTTTATACTGCTACGTGGGAGTGTTGCTGTTTATGCAATAAACCCAGGAACTATGCCAGGTTCAGATGACATGATTGTGGAGCCAATTTCGTTAGATATAACAACTGCCAAAGGTCCTAAAGAAAGAGTCCGATTCGGGCAAGAGCTTTGTGTTTTACGTAAGAACATTATTTAATTAATTATAATAATAAATAAATATGACTTTTTTATGTGTGTAGTGATTACTAACTACGTTTAAATGTAAATTTAACCACTTTTGTATACAGAACTGTGGCTAGACTCCCCCACACCCTTTTTTTTTTGGTATTACCAAATGAAAAAATTTTCAAGGTTTTTGGAGGGGAAGGGGGGCTCCGACCCATTAGCCGCGACACTGTTTGTATATAAAGTATAAAATTCTCACAAAACTATCCATGCATCTTTAAAATAAAATCCATATATTTGGTTTTTTATGCTCAACATGTTCGTACGACTTTATCGTTTCCTCGTGGAAGGATAAAGTCGTACGTATGTAAAATTTTAAATGGTATATGGATTTTTATCTTTAATATCCTCTATACCCTTTTATATGATAAATGCTTAAAATGTTAGTATAAAATTATAAATCGTTTTAGTTTATTTGTGGTAACTGTTATAATGACCTATCATTAAAATTATGGATAGTCTGGTTTGCAAATTAGTTTTTTTTTTTTTAATTTTAATAATAATTAAAAATAAAAATAGAAAAAATAAAAAAAATTAGTTTAGGGCAAAAGTTACATGCATCTTCTAACTTCTCATTTATAAAATTTATAAAAAGAGCTTTTGTCTGCCAAAAGTCTTTTGAAGATAATTTAAAGAGCATTAAAGCTTTTATTAATTGCACATTAATTTATTTTCTACAAAAGTTTTAAATTCCATATTGAAGGGTTGTTAACGTGTTAAACATATTGTTTAACTATTTTGAAAGGTAGTGGAAGATGTTTTGGAGAACTAAGCTTTATCTCTAAGCACGGCGTCAGAACAGCCACAGTAATTGCTGAAGAACCTTGTGTTGCAGTTTTAATAGGAAAAGCAGTATTTTCAGAATATGTTCCCGAAGAGTTTGCCCAAGAGATAATTAAAAGAACAACTTTTGTAGCAGCGCATCCGTTGTTTAAACTGTGGCCATTATTTTACAGAAATCTTTTATCAGAAAACTTACAAATAAAAGAGTATCGTTACAATGAGGTGATTATTAAACAAGGACATGCTTCCGATGCTGTATATTTCATATTAGATGGTCAAGCGAAATTAACAATGAATCCAAAAAAACACAAAGAGATATACCCAAATATTCTTCATTTGTTAGATGGAACTCATGAAAACGAGGAAAGTAGCTTTGATATTTACAAGTCATTAACAGTTCTCGAGAAAAGACAACTTCGTAAAACTAAAGGCTTCCATTCTTTGGAGCAGCGACATCGAGAGGTTAACGTTTGTACAGTAGGCGTGCAAGGTATTATTGGGGATATAGAAGCGATCTTAGATCTACCTTTTAATATTGCATCTGCAGTATGCATGCAACATTTGATACTTTATGAAATTGAGAGATCAAGTTTTTTACGACTGATAGTAAAAAAAAATCCTGCAACATATAGAAAAATTCGTTTGTCTGTTCATGAAAAGTTAAAATATCGGAATGGTATGTACTCTGGTGGAATACCAATATATCAAGCGCTTTTAGTTTTGTTCGAAAAAACAAAAACTAGGCAAAATCTGTTGCAATCGAAGGCATATAGAAAAAACGATTCAAAGCCAATAAAAGAAGGGCTATTAGGCGAAACGGTAATTTTTACATTCTCATTCCGAAATTTATGAAAAAAAAAAACTTTGTAACACAATTGAACAAAATAGTATTTTATTTCTTATAGATCGAGGAAGACAAAGGACCTACACAAGCAAATAAATTAGACGAAACCAAGTTGATACCGGTTGAAACGAATTCAAAAGAAGAAACCCATGCAAATAAAAAACATTTATTTAGAAATGTCGCCTTGTTTGCAGGAAAAATTATGAACACTCACAAGTAATTCTTATAATTTCTCTTTTTTTTAATATATCAAATAAACTTATTTAAAACATTTTTTTTTTCTTTATTAGGAAATCTCCAGAGAAAAGTAAGGTAGGTTTTAATGTATAAGTTTGGTTTTTATAATTTATCCAACTCGAAAAACTTACAAATAACAAACATATCAAATAATATACGAAAACTTAAGAAATTAAAAACTCGAAAAAAATAAAAATTAACGTTCATATTTCTGAGTTTTTGCTCTAATTATTGACTTATCGACATTAAAGTCAAAACTTTTTTTAAAGGCCCTTCAGCAATATTGGATTTAGCGAATGAAAAAAACTCTATTTGTTAAGAGGGGCAAAACAAAATAACGAGAATGCATCAACTCATCCTAAAACTTAAAAATAAAAGAAATGTCTTAAGCATTTGTGGTATAATAAATATAACGTTATGTTTTATAGGATGAAAAAAAGCAGTATACCGTCAATGAGTATAAAGAACTGAAGAAGAAAATGCAAACAATGGCTAAAGCATCACCGAAATAAAACTTCTTTTTTTTCTTCATTAAAATATATATTAGCATCAACAATATAAAATTTTTTATATATAATAAAAAAAGTAATAAAAAATTTTACTTATACATTAATTTTTAAAAAATAATTAAAAAAAATAATTAGAATTTATATAAAAGAATAATTCATATAAATAATCAAGTGTTTCTTGGTTGCATTGTTTGTTCGTGCAAACATAGTCCAGAAGAGTCAATCATGCTTAATTTTAGAAACTCGTTGGAGACATTTATTAACGCAAAACTTCCCAACTTTGATTCATCTGCCCAAAAAAATTGAAGAGAGCCTTTTGGAACTTTTTTTGCATTTGTTTTGTCGTATTTAATAAAATTTGAAGCACCAATCACGTAGTAATGAATACCTGAGTCAACTAGATGCTTTAATAATAAAATGAAGTTTTAATTCATAGAAAAATATTTAAAAAACATTTGTTATGTACACAGAAAGTGAATTAAATAAAAATATATATGATGTAAATATATATACATAAAAAAATAAGTAAGGTTTGTAGCAGGGTTAGTGTTATATTTTTCTTAAAACACTTCCTTGACAATTAAAATTTGTATCTTTTATTTTTTAACTGAATTTAAATAGATCAATGAAGGTTTATAGAGGGTAGAATGAAATAAATAATGAAATATGACAAACATTTATTATTTTGCTCCTATTTATTGAATAAACTTATTTGCCGATCATATTGTAGAAAATTCTGAAAAAAATGATATAAAATTTTATTAAAAAAAATAAAACTTAAAAAAAAAAACCTTTAAAAAAAAAACTCTTAAAAAATTTTTTGTTCGTGTAATAAATTTTTCTTTATATTTTTTAAAAACGGATGTAAAACTCTCGGAAAAGAATTTTGCTATCAGTGAGCTTAAAGCGTATACTTGTGAAATTTGCTATCAGTGAGCTTAAAACTTTTTTAATTTTTTATGCTAATCGCGAATCTTTTTTCAAATTTCAACTTCCAATAAAGTGTTTTGAGTTAAAAAACTTGATAAATAAGTTTATTTATGTCTCAACAAACCAATGAATCTCGATAAAGTCATGCAGTGGCTAATTTGGCATGTAAGATCCCACCATTAGAAAAATTTAAGTTTATTATTTAGTTTAATTATTTAGTTTAATTATTTACTTAAATAAATTTAATTAAAGTTATCAAATTAAGCAAAACATTTCAGCTCTGGTGAGGTTTTCACATGCAAATAGTCACTGGATTTTAAAATACTGCTTTTTTCAACTAAAACAGTCAAAATTGCAAACTGCTAACACATTTGAAACATCATCTCAACAAGAGCCTTTGATATCTCAGAATCTACTTAAGAGTTTGCCTTTGACATCTCAGAATCTACTTCAGAAACTTTGACATCTCAGAATCTTCTTCAGAATCTATGCCAGTTCAGCAGTAGCAGTAACTACACCATCTTAGCCACTGCCTTTGGAACTTACATTAACAACAATCTAGCATTAACATACACTATATAGCCTCTAAAGTCAACTTGCTTGCAACCAACCTTTAATATTGAAGTAACTCCAGCAACTTTATAGAAAATTCAAAAAAAAGTTGAAATACAATTGCAATTCCAATCGCTTACTGCAGCTTTGCAACAAATTTTTTGCAAGCAACACATTGAAAATAAAATATTTTCCCTTCCCTTTTTTGTTTTTGCAAAAAAAAAAAAGACAAGTTGAAATTGGCGTTTAGGTTTTTATTGTAGTTGTAAAGCAAAACTTTATTTAAGGTTTTTCTAATTCTTCTGATTTTCTTTGTAGATAAAAGCAGCAACAAACTTTATCTCCTAACAACTTAAACAATTGCGAGCTATAATCTTTACTTATTGTATGTAGAATATAAAAGACCTACTAGCTCACATACTTCAGCCCTATTAAAATATCTCAGAGTAACGTCAAAGTTAAGTTCTTCAAGTTTTTCAACCTATTACTATTCTTTTCAGTAAAGTTTTCTTCAATGATTTATAGTGTCAAGTGTTTGTCTAAAATTTCTGAAAACTACTTAGCATGAATTAAAGAGCCCTTTTCTTTTCACCACTAAAGAATGACTTCTTTTGTGGTGGAAAGATAAAAATCTTCAATGTCAAAACTATAAAAATGCAGTTATGTTTGCATTGATATTGCAAAACCATTTTATCAGTTCATCTGTACTATTTTTTTACCATTTATTATTTATTATTATTTTTTACTATTATCATTGGTATAAAAGGGTGGAAATTCTGAATTTATATTTTTGTGATCTTTTATCGCCATAAGTATGAAACCTTTTTCAATTACTTCAGCCACTATATTAATGTTATTATATTGGAAAATATCAAATTTTTTATAAGTTCTTGTTACGTCTTACAACAAAATCAATGCAAAAAGGTCTGATGATGTCTGATGATGATAATCTCAGATTACTAAATCTCATATTTTGTATCAGAAATTTATTTCTAGAGACTTTCGGAAAATCATTAAAAAACTCATTAATAAAGACTATCATTTTATTTCTCATGCATGGATCTTATCACTTAAGACAGAACTATTATATGTTTCAAACAATTTTTCCTCTAATTCATCTCTTAAATCTAATAGCCACTCTTTTGCTGTCATTCCAAAGAAACAGGTTAAATTATTATTAGATATCCAAATCATTCTTGCTTCTGTTGCTTAAGTGATTTCTGACATTCTTTTACAGCTTGTGGTCTGGATAATACTCCTGTCACAGTTTTACATAAGTGTTTTCTAGAACTTTCTTTATAAAATATTTAACAAGCGCTTAACTGAATCTTGCTTTCTTTTCTACTAAAAAATGGCATCTGTGATTACAACTTTTAAAAACTCAGGATATTGCTCAAACCCCTCTAACTATCGCCCACAGATTAAGGTTTGCAGTGCCTTGGTGAAATTTTAACCCAAATAAAACTAAAATAAAAATAAACTAAAAAGATAAAAATGTATTGACTACTACTAATTATTGTAATATTGTTCCGATGTCTTCTCGGATTCACTACTGACCTGTCACGGAAACCATAGTTACAACTGATTGCAAAGTTAGCATCTGCTTTTTATCATGTTCATCATATTTTTACTCCTAATTTTCTTTCTCTAACTCTATAAATTTCCTATTTGTCCTTGTATGGAATACTGTTGTCGTATTTAGGCTGGTTTTTCTACTGAGGCCCTCTCTCTTTTAGACAAGGACCAAAAAACACAAACATTGGTGCTTGGCATTTCTCTCCCGTCTTCATGTTTTCCTGACACAAACAATTTATAGTATTTTCAAGTCTTCTGTTGCTTTCTTGCTCTTTACCTCTCTTCATTGTTTTCTATCTTCATTTAATTAAAAGTTTAATAATTAGTAGTTTAAATTAACTGATTTGTTGAGAATTTATTATTATTATTTTTTTAAATATTACAAGTTCATAAAAAGTGATTTATCTGCACAAAAAATTTTTTTTTTTTTGAGATCTTACTTTTATGAGTGACTAAACTATTATGGTTTATATGGTTTTATTTCATATCGTTATAAACACATATGGTTCATATGGTTAATTTACAGGCAATACGGCCATGAATATAGTTATTATTATAGTTCATAACAAAAAATTAATTAAATTGATTTATCAAATAAAGTACATAATTATAAATACCTGTAAATTATGATCATGACCATTCAAATAAGCAGTTACGTTATATTTTTCAAGAAGTGGTTTTAGGCGTTTTACAAGACACTTTGTTGGTCCGTGCTCAGCAATACTCCATACTGGAAAATGCCCGCTAACTATAAGATAATCTGCTTTAGAACTGGCAAGTTGCTGTTCCAACCAATTCCATTGATTTTCTGATAGTTTCTCGTCCTTGGGACCTTAATATTTTAGGTGAAAATGAAAACTTAATAATAATTTACTAAACTTTTTATCAAATTTTAATAATTGCTTTCTTTTTTATAATTTTTTTTTTTTATCAAACTTACTTAATTATGAAATAATGTTTATGATTAAAAAACTCTAAAAAGTGAACTAATTTGACAGTTTTGGAAATACAGTAGAAGCCCATTATTTCAAACATTCAGAATTCAATTTATACTCTAAACAATTTTTGTAAGTCACACAAAAAACTTATTTTTATTAACGATTAAAATCAATTCAATTGTTATTCGTTAAACAAACTAAATCAACATTATAGGCAATGGTATCAAAGTAAAATATCAAAAATGGGGTTCAAATGATCATCATAACCAATCCAAATAAATTAATGTTTGAAATTAAAAACTTCTACTGTATGTTTTGGCATAATGCCATTTGATTTAACATTGTAAAAAGGTTGGCGCAAAATTTTAGTAACATATTCATAGCTTATAACCTTTTTGACAGATTTAGAAAATGACCATTTTTAGTCATATATTAAAGCAATCCAATAAAATACATTTACCACTTGGTTGCATGAGAGAATCGTCATAACCAGTGTTTCCACATAAAATGATCGTATCTAGCATAACCAGCTGTAATGTCCGACTACTATCTAAACAAAGTATAGTTAAAATTGTATATTATTATATCATATAAAAATATAAAATACAGAATATCTCAAAATACAAAAAGTACGTTGTACTTTTTGTATTTTGAGATATTCTGATATTTATATTTTTATATGATATATTTTTATGAGATATTTATATTTTTATATGATATATTTTTATATGAGATATTCTGATATTTTGTATTTTGAGATGTTCTGTACTTTATATTTTTACACATAATATTGTTTATGTCATGTGATTCATATTGCTGTTTACCATTAGTTATTTTAAAACAATATCTTTCAATATCAAAAACTTTGTATACACATTTACTATAAATGTGTATACAAAGTAGATCAATGTAGATCAATGGTCATCATGGTAGATCAATGGTCATCATGGTAGATCAATGGTATATAAAGCATGATTTGGTGGCACCAAACACATATCTTCTCAATTGGACCAAAGCATGGACCATTGATTTGTTTCCTTGAACATCAAAAAAACCTTTTAACTCTCATGTTTTCTTTTTTTATACAGCTTACAACTTTTTAAGTCTTCAGTTATACATTTCCTAGTATTTTAACTTATTTTCTATTTTTAAGTAACTCATAACTCAATAGTGGTTGCTTGCATACTTGTTAGAAATAAATTAAAGTTTAAAAATAAAAATAAATTTTTAAGATTTAGCAGGGGAAATTTATAAGATTTAGCAGGGGTTGATAGCCTAGGCTAGAAAAAAATTTATAATACTTAATATATTATAATTTTATGCTTACATTTACTATTTATTAAATACTGGCATACATTTATATATTTTTAAACTCTAATTTATTTCCAACAAGTATGCAAGCAACCACTATTGAGCTATGAGTTACTTTAAAATAGAAAATAAGTTAAAATACTAGGAAACATATAACTGAAGACTTAAAAAGTTGTATGCTGTATAAAAAAAGAAAACATGATTTTGGTTTATTGTTATAGAGACGATAGCTCATTTGAGCATTGACCATGGTTGTAATTGTAGAAAAAAGAAAAAAATACAACCTTACAAAAATGGGAAAGTGGCTCAAGCTTGGTAGATAAAGCAGGTCTAATTACATTTACAATGTGGTTTTAGACTTTGTCTGAGAGTAAGAGGGTTGTTATTTGTCAATATAGGAATGCAAACATTGCAATATTTTTTTTGCAGTAAATAAAAGAGTTAAGTAGTCTTTTATTATTTTTTTGCAGTAAATAAAAAAGTTTTGTTTTATATTCTGGAACTAAAATTATGGATTTTAAGTCCAAAATATAAATCTATAGGCCACTGTAAGCCTTAGGCTGTTATGGAAGAGAGGTTAGATTAAAAATCGGTTGCATGTTTTAAGCAATCAAAGAGTGAATATTTTTTGTCAAGACAAGAGTATAAAGTTGAGTTGTCAGCCACTTTAGGTGTAAAATTTTCATGAAGTTATTGTAGATAAAAAACAATACAGGAGCAAAGTTAGAACCTTGTGGTACCTTTAAAGTTACTTGAAATAAAGAAGAAGGTAGGCTTCCAAGAATAACTTCACTACTGCAGTTAAAAAGAAATAATTTAATAACCTCAAAACCTTTATATAAAAAAACTAATAACAGAGTGATCGTATGATAGTTGGAAAGGTCAAAGTGTTTTCTAGAGTTTTGAAAAATTGGAACCACATATTAAGCACTTTTTAAAAGTTTAGCAAAAATTGAAGAGAATTCTGGAGAACATTTATTTAAGGCTATGTTAGAAATCTATTCTGGAGCACAAACTGTAGAAGTGTTTAAATAAGAATTAACTTTAGCATTGGAAGCCATAGTGATTTTGATGTTTAACAATGGGTTAATCTGTTTAACTATCAGAAAGAGTATGACCATTATATTTTAAAATCAAATTAAACTTCTTGCAATAATAAAAGGACATTTGCTCTTAAGAGAGATGTTCTTTTAAAAAAGATGAAAAAAATGATTAATGTTTAATAAAGTAACTGCTCAAGATGGTGAAAAATGTGGAGTAGAATGAAACTTGACTTAAAATCGAAGAGAAGTAATAAAAGCTTTTATTCCAAACTTTTATTCCAGAAGGAATAAAAGTTTCCAAGATGCACTTTATGCATACATATTATGGATATAAACATATATGTTTGCTATTTATTTAGATGCTGCCATACAATATTCTTTCATTGTTATATAAACTTTAGTATTTATATGGTGCAGTATTTGCTGAATGAGAAGATGATCATATGAATGTGTGGTGTGACTCTAGCAAGACAAGAAAAGGAGGCATAATTTTACACAGATTAGAAAAAATGTTGTATCGAACAACGTTTGTTAGAAAATATTAAAGTAATTTAAGAACCAGCATGTAGTGGTAGAAGTAAGAAAGCTTGAAGAGAGTGCCTTACATACTGTATGAATGAGCAGGGATGAACCCAGACATATTTTAGTACTGCTAGAGCGGTATGGGTGCCCAAAAAAAAGCGCCCAAAAATTATT